GGAATGCATAGAGCAGCACAGCTTTCCGGTGTGGATGGGTGCTGGGCAGTGGGGTGTGCAAACATGCCCTGCACCGATGGTCTCAGAGAACTCATGTGCATGTTCCTAAAGGTGTGTTTAGCCCATCAAATGATGCCTGCGCTGAACAAGGAGGATTTGTCTGTCTTGCAGCTGCTGGTAGCCATACATCAATCCAGGTCCGTTTTCTTGTCCTTGTTTAAAGAGACTCCCCCAACAACCTCCCTGATGGCCTTTTAGCATGGCACTAGCAGAGAACGGAGTGTCTGCATGTTGCTCCTGGAATGGGCTCCCTGCATGACCTATCCTCTTCCAAACAGGCCAGGGACAGCCCTGTAGGTTTCTGCTGCAGCAAACCAGGCGGTCCCTCCAGGTGGGCACAGCATCGACAAGAGAGCAGCACTGCAGGCAGGCCCCAGTGCTGTGTATCCGAGCCCAGAGCATAGCACGGGATAAGTGGTGCTCAGCCCCTGTCATCACCAGGTCAAGCAGTCTCTCGGCCTTGAGGAAGAGACATGAAAAGCAGAGCAGCGCTGACAGTCAGTGTAAACATGGCCTCTGCTTATAAATGAGCAGAAAATGCTGCCAGGGTCAAGGTGCCCACATTGTATGCTCCCCCAGCACTGGGAGGGTGCCCACATTGTATGCTCTGGGACCCCTATGAATAGCGTTTGCTGTCTCAGAGCAATCTCTGGGCCAATCTAGGGTTTTGGGTTTTTTTTCTCTGTAGTATTCTTCATCTAGTATTATTTCAGTTACTTTAAGACCTCCTCCCAAGTGTCCACAAACCTGTGGCATTTGAAGAGGCTACAGGGGCTAGGCAGTGGCTCTCAGACCTATGGCCAAGATCCTCTCTGCTCCAGACTGGCTCCTGCCCTAAGCCAGATGTTACCAGTGCACTGCCGGTTACCGGAGGTAACTGCCCCGTGCAGTTCCTGTGCCTGACGTGGGCCAGCCATGTCCAGCCACCTCAGAGTCACTGCCACCCGCAGGGTGACAGCAGGTCAAGGGACATTCTCTGCGTGCTCTGAATACCAGGCGCTACCAAGAGAAACACAAGCCCTGTTCTGCCTCAGGATCAACAAGAGTTTAGACAAAGATTAAGCAAAGCCAGATGTTTGGGGGCGGATGGAACGGCACAGATGGGAGAACTCATCAAAGATGTGTGTTTCTAAGGAGGGTTCTGCTCTGGCCTTCAAGCTTACCAGGCAGTTTCAGCTGCCTCAGGCTTGCTATGCTCCAAGAGCTCCTAGCAGGGCCCTTACCTTGTTCCAGATGAGGACAGGGGTTGGGATGCCTATGACTTCACAGCTCAGGTAGATCTGTGCTCCTGTCACATTCCAGATGTCCTTAGGAGGGGTCACGATGGAGGGTCCTGCAAAAAGGGATAAATGCTTTTAAGTACCAGGTGACTGCAAGCCTGGTTCCTTGCTAGCCTTTTAAGTGGGGCTGGTCACTTCTGACAGGTTTTGAGGGTGCGGTGGAGGGGGGCCCTTCTTGGAGCAAAGCTTGCTGGACTGATCCTGTTGTCCCGGAAGTGGGATAACATACCCAGTGTGCAACACTCCAATATGCACACAGAGAAGAGGTATTTTACTTATACCGTATTGCGCAGATATGGGTGCTAGGTAGTATTCCACAAAGCCAGCACACCACACAAAGGAATCACCACGTATTTATCCCGTTATACAATTAGCAAAAACAATAGAGAACCTCCCAAATTTACATTCATTGGCTAGTAATTACCACATTGATTATTACTGGTTACACATACTTAAATTATAGCGCGTGCTCCTAGAAAGGGGGGGCGGTAATTTGCATAGTCCCTCAGTTGAGTCGGTGGTCGCGATCTCCCCGCCTCCGCTGCCTTTACCCCGGTTACAGTGGATTCTGCTGATCTCCTAACAGTTACATTTTTCAAGAGTAAAAGAACAACTTAGTCTTCATGGTTTACCGCTTAGGTACAACGACTTCATCTTCTTGACCACTAAATCTGGGTTCATTAATATTTTTTTTAATTGTGTTGTCTCCTGCTGACCTGCCCCCCCTAGAATCTTTAATTTATCTCCAACATCAATCCCACATCACAGCACTTCCCTCTCCAAAACTACACATGTATCCAACCTTAAACTGTTCAGGCTGATGGGCACTTGCCCCAGATGGAAACTCAAGTGTTGAGAAGTTCAGGTGATCAGCCCATCTACTTGCACGACTGAGGTCAGACCATGTTTTTATCCTCTCTTAGGGACTGAGCAGGACTTTACAAACTGGTGCCTCTGCTCACCAAGTGCATCGTTGTCACTCAGCTGGCATGGACGAGAGGACCCCCCACCAGACAGGGGGGGGTCCCACTCTCCCATGCCACAGTTGCAGCATCCTTTCTCCAAGAATGATTTTAATTTGCAGCAAAGCCCACGGCAGCTGGCCAGCAGAATTCAGTGTTACGCTGCTCCTGTCTTACCTGTGTGAAATATTCGGCCAAAGGAGGCTGGGTAGAGGGTGGCAGAGCTCTCCTTGGCGGGACCCTGGAAGGGACCAGGTGAATGCAGAGCTTCATTTCCCCAAAGAGCTCCGGTCCCTGGTTAAACAGGGAGTTGTTTCTAAAGCTAGATGGGAACAGAGCTGTTTTGCAGATCTGGCTGCAGATGTTTACCCCTCAGGCTGGGAAATGCTGGAGATGTAACCCATATCCCAGGAAGGGAAGAATGGCTTTTTCTGTTCAGTCCCTCTTTAGTGTGGCTGTTGTGCAAAATGCAGCTATTAATTCCCCACAATAGGAAGTGCAGACCAAAGGAGCACATAGTGTTTATTTCCACTTATTGATAGCTTGAAGGACACAGCAGATTTTCCCCTTCTGCGCTGAAGATGCGGGCAGTAAAAGGAAACTGAAGCTCCCATTAGGCTCCACCAGGAGAAGGCATTTCCTATGCGAACAAGTACTCCAGAGCCAGCCTGACTGAAGCCTCTGGGTATGCTGGCTCACAGACCATGGCTCATTCCCAGCCCCATAAAAGAGGGGCAGATTTGGGTCCTGGTGCTCCTGCTGGGGTCCTGAATATGCACTGACCTCAACCCTGCATGTGCACTCTGCCCTGCAGCCCTCTTGCAGGCAGTGGGGAGCAGGTTCCAGCAGAAAGCTGGCATCTTTTTTCCTCCTTGGGATCTAGGGGCAGATCCACACTGGTATCGCCAGCCAGAGGACATCAGCCATCCCTCTGTCTTAGCCCAAGGGATGCCGAGGTGGCTCCCCACTCCTGAGCAGCTGGTGTGATCCCAGAGAAGTGTCTCCTCTTCTCTTCCGAGACTTCTCTGTCCAGGAATGACTGTATGTGGCCTGCTGGTGGGAAGCTGCTAAGAGACCATGAGTGTCCAAATTCTCCATTACAGAGGTATCCCAGTCCTGGTTTTACCGGGAGGTAGATGCTTAGAAGCAGGGAAGTCTTATGTGTAGCCCCAGGCGATGGTTAAAACCACACCTAATGATCAGTACGGGCTGGTTTCCTGGCAGACATCACAACCCAGGTGCTCCTCACCTGCACAGAACTATTTCTGATGGCTGAGAAAAGGATTTGAGCAGGGTTTCATTAAATCGCTTACCCTGTTGTTGGTTGTGCTTGCTGCATGGGCCGATCCCTGTGCGCTGGCCAGGAGAGGGGTGTGTCAGCCACAGCACCCTTTCCCATATGGAAAGGTGCTGGAGTTGCCCTCACTCCAGGTGGCCCACAGCAGATCTGTACCCCCAGGCAGTGCCCAGCTCTGCACTCTCAGCAACACCCCACTGGAGGCTGTTCCACAAGCACAACCGTAGTGTAGTAGAGGAGGGCGATCCGTGGGGCTAGCAGCCCCAGCGCGCTCCTCCCCGAAGCCCTGCCTGGCCCCCGCGCAGCAGCAGGGCTGTGGCCAGCCCTGGGTATTGCCGTCCCCACGATGGGGCCACCTCAGGTCACGCACTCCGCTCCCCTTCCCCAGCGTGGCCGTTTCCTGCGCAGCCCTGCTGTTCTTTTTCTGGTGTCCCTTGAACAATAGGGACAATAGGGCGCTCGGCAGCTGCAGTGGGACCCGGACGTCCCCAGGCGGCCTTAGCTCACCCCGTGTTCTGCAAGGACCTCCAGCAGACGTGCACCCAGCACAGCCTGCTGCTGCCTTCTGCTCCAGCCACGCAAACCTCTCCACGTGCAAGGTGCCCTTCCTAGGGCAGCGCTCCGGGCCCGTCCCCGAGAGGCAGGGCTACGTTTGCTCCTCTACGATACCATCCTCTTCATCACCAGGTGCTGGGGTTCTCCATGAGGCAAGGAGAAACACAGCTGCTCCCAAATGACCACCATCTCCTGCCACCAAAAAGGAGAGATCCTGATTCTTAGA